TGCTCTGTTATTATGAGCCTTTGAAAAAGGAAGGGGTGAAAAAGAAGTTCTCAACGTGTGCTGTTCTTTATGAAGGGAAGCATAATAGAACCTAAGCTTTCGTGCAGGAGGAGGTGCTCTGAATTTTTTTAAGCAAGACCTAGATTAAAACTGATGATGCTGAGAAGAAAAAAGTTGGTTGGAGTTCCAAATTTGATTCTTTTTTGACCCTTGAAACATGTCAGCCAGTGTCATTCAGTTTTGGACTGTTTTTCAGCTTGACCTTTGACAGGGCTGGTGAGGATGCTGTAATAATTGCCAAAAAGACTTTGCAGTTAAGCAACTTAGGAAAATAAGATGTTGTAAAGTTACCAGTGGCCTTCCTCCAGTCAAAGTAAAGTGAAGAGAGGAGAGGAGTTTGGGGAGAATGGGACAGATTTCAAGGAAAAGATATGTTCTGTCTGTCGAGGCCTCTGAAGTCTGTGAAGACAGAGCAGTCATAGTGAAGAAACTCAGTGGCTCTTTGACCAAGTTTGTCTTGAAAACCTGCTTCTCCTGGGCGCCCTTGGGTATTTTTTTTTTTCACTCTAGTATATGAATTTTCAAGCATGCAATTCAAATAATTTCAGGAGGTGTTTCAAAAGAGGGTGGGAGAGGGTTCAGGACTGGGGAACAAGTTCAGAGTTCTAGTCTTGGGTGGCTGGAGAAGGGAGTCAGGAGACTGGGCTGGCCAGGACCTGGCTGGCAGCCCTGCCCTGGGGAGCAGTGACTTCAGAGAGTTCATTCTTGGAAGTCAGAGTCCAGGCACTGCAGCCAGCTGCCCCTCCCCCAGACATTTCTTAAAGTGGAGGGTTGTGTGTCTTTCCAGTTTATTGTGGTAGCAGTTTGATTCCCTTGCTTTTATTTTATTTATTTTTTTTTTTTTTGCTTTTATTTTAATTTCCATAATTGGTAGCTTCAGAAATGGCTCCGGAAGACAGTTTGTTTTAAATGGGGCCACCTATGCCAAACTGCCGTGGCTATGTTAGGAGTTGTACCCTTTGCCTCCGGAGTTCTTGCTCAGGACTTCTTTTGGACCGGTCCAGAAGGTAGGGTCCTTCCTGACTCGACTCCCGCAAAGGTCACTTTTTGCGCACAGGGTCATCCCCAGCGTTTGCGAGCAGCATATGCATGTGATTGTGCTGACTGCACTCGCAGGCTTGTAAATTTTCACCCTGGGAAATTAGCAACAAAGCCCGATCTGTCTCGTGGCTGCTTTGCACTTTCCGAGGGCGGCTGTACTTGACTGAGCTGCAGAACAGGCACACGAGAGCGAGCGAGGGAGCCAGCGAGAGAGGGAGGGAGAAAAGGAAAGAGGAGCAGGGAGGGGTGGGGGCGAGAGGTAAATAGTCTTAAATCGGAAGGGAGCTGCTTCTCTGCGGTCTTGACAAGCGCTGCCTGGGCTCCGCCGACTCAGTAATAACTGAGTGACCTTTTCTTGGGCTGTATTATGTCTGGCTGGGAAGGGATTGCATTTTGCAGCTGAGAGCCGGGGCTTCCTTCAGCTCTGCTCCTCGAGTGCTGCTGGGCTAAGTTGTCTTGAGCCAGGACAGAGAGACCCAGCTCGGACTGCATTGCCTAAAACGAGGACACCTGTGGCTCAGATGCGGTCAACACCATTACTTGGCGGATCCTCGAGGACCTCATTATTTTAAACTTAAAAAAAAAAATAGAGAATCCCTCCCCCCCCTTTTTTTTTTTCAAACAATGCTTCTTTTTGACCTTTCCCAAGGAGAAGCGCTACAAAGCAGCCACTGTGCTTACTGAACGGCCTCCCCCTGTATCGCTTAATTGAGAAGGTAAGTGCAGCGACTGTGTACACACGCGGCGGCTTGGTGGTGGTGTGTGTGTCTGCGGGTGCGCGCGTGCGTGTGCGGATGTGGGTATTTTTGCTTCCCCAGCCTCTCCTAATGAGGCATAAACTGGAGCTGCAGCCCAGCTCCGCACTGCAACTTTCCGTCGGGCTGCAGCTCTGCTGAGACGGTTTTGTTTAAATCATGTGAGGCTTCATTATTTTTATGATGAGACATGAAATAGATGCAGGCGGAACATGCTGGCGGAGGGAGGGAGCGCGGCCGCCGCGCGGCACGTCTCAAGTACGACTTGAGTGGCTAATAGTCAAAGTTCACGGTGAACTGCAGTATTTTCACACCCCTGGCTCCTGGGGCGAGAGGGGCCGGGAGAGTTTGCAATTTGGAAATGTTCTTTCTGGGCCGGCCCCTGGGAAGGGAATTCTGTCCTAGATGGGTTCGCGTCGCCCCCTCCCCTTACTTGCTAGAATTCGTGGCACCCACACCCCCCAACCCTGCAAGAATTGCAATGACTGACAATCTTTCGTGGTCGCTTGTTCACACTTCACTCTCCCTTCTCTGCCGTAATGACACAATGTTTGTCCTGCGTGATGGAAGAGCGACTGTTTGGGGGCGGGAGATTTGGGGCTAAGTGGCCAGGAGAGAAGGGTTCGGGGAACAAGGTGCCTGCGTCCTAGTGGCTTGAGATTCAAACTGATGCAGCACGTTTTTACGGGGGCTACCCAGATTGCTGTTATGAAATACAAGTCAGATTTATGATCTTTTTCCTATTGAACATGATATGCTATGCTAACGCTGCATGTGACAGTTTAATCAAATCCATTTGTTACCACGAAGCTAAAAGGGGCCGCTGGGATTTTAGGATTACGGGCAGAGTTAAGGAAGCATGTGGCTTTGTCATTCGCCATCATTTTGCACACTGCCACACTGCGAGGGGTTCTGCGTGCGCCGAGGCTCGTCTGGCTGCCCTTATCCCTTCCCCCACCCCCTGCCGCCACTCCGACCTGCTCCCAAAGTGGCTTCACAATAGTCGGTCCTCCGTGGCCGTGGCGCAGGCTGCAACCAGGTCCACACTTGAGCCAAATCAAGGAGACCCCCCTCCGCTTTTACCTGTGGGCTTGGTGCTCAATGCGAAGCTGCTGCAGCTCAGGCACGCCTAAGTCAACTCATGCAGAAAAAGGAGAAAAGTTTTGGTAAGGTTACAATCTATCCTGGATGCACTTGCCGCGCTCGGCACTCTTGGCTGCTCAAAAGCCTCCCTGCTCTTGGGCTGCTTTTGTGTCTTTCGAAAAGATCCGAAATATTATTGTTGTAACTGCTTTGAAAGACTGCTGCTTAAACCAATTAATCTTGCTAGGTGCAACAAATACTGCTACATTCTTTGCAAATCATTCCTGTGTGGCTGCAAAGACCCAACCACAAAAGGCTGGAGCATAAACTCCGCAAGGGATTCTTTGTTAGAGTGTATGTATGTTTCTTATTTTTTTTTTTTATTTTGCATGTGAGCTGCATCAAAATTGAACTCAGTCTTGCAAATCTCTTGTTGGCCTTTGCCAAGCACTAGCACTTTGCTGCCATGGTAACTGTAATTAAACTGATAAGAGTGGAAAAATGTCAGTATCTCTGAGCCTTGCAGCTGCATTGGAGAAAAAGGGAATCAAATTGGTTCCCAGCTCCATTGCTCAAAAAAGGGGAGGGGGTGATGGAAGGATGGGGAGGGGGGGCTGGGAGTTGAAGGGGCAGAACAGAGTTAAGCAGCTCCAGCGCCTGAGATCTGGGGACATCTATTTGCATTGTTGTCCCTTAGGGGGCTGCAGCCTGTAGGGATGCTCTGGGCCAGTGAACAGAGAGAAACAAGCTTTTAGGCCCAATCCAGTTCTCCAATCGGGGCTGGGGGCTGGGGAGAGGATGAAGATGGGCAGGAGGAGGGAAAATCTTTTGTTTGGTACCTCTTGGCAATCGAAGGGCCTTGTTGGCCAAATTCTTTTAATCTGTGTCACTGCTCCCAGCTGCAGAACCTGCACTCCCATTTTAGCATCTTCCTGAGGCACCTCATCTCTGCCAGCCCCCCTTTATGGTCTCCCCCTTCCTGTGCCTTCTCCCAAATTGTTCTCTGTGAATCTTCCGACAGGGACAAAATGTTTTCCATTCAGTATGTGTAGTTAGTCCAAAAAATATAAAAGACTGAGTCTGAGTGCTGCAAATCTTTTATTATGATTATTTTTTTAAACCCCTGCGTGTTGCGGAGTTGTGGTTACTTTGTTGTGTTAACTACTGAAGCTGAGACTGCGCGGATGGATGGCACAGAACAAGGGAACATAATGGAGCCACTCAAGCGTTAGGCCGCCTCACAATGCAATCCAGGCAATTAAAAGCTCACCAGAGTTTAAATGAAATGGTTCTACTTATTTCTGCACACCACACTGCACAGGCTATTATTTATGTCTTTTTTTTAATTATGATTTCCCTTAAACTGTCAAATAACTCAGAATGGCAGGGTCTCAGAGGCAATAAGAATTTCCCTCAGAACAATTTACATGCCAATCTAAAACTAGTTATGAGTCCTGATGTGCTATGAGCAACTTGTGAAATGTTTCTCAGCTCCGAACACATAACTCTATCCAGACGTGTTCCTGAGCTGGTGAGGGGAGGCTGCTGACGGCTTTATGCCTTTCAGGCACTGGCAACGTGGAGAGACAAAATAGTTCTTATCCTACAACTGAAAACTTGCGTAGTATTGAAAAGATTTCCTTTTCATGAGAAATGCGATGTTGTTCTCTAAAAGAAAGTACCAGGATGGAGTGTAAAATATCAAACTCCTTTTCTGCCCAAGGCCAAACAGAATGTAAGAGTTTCAAATATTAATTGGCCTCTGAGTGCTAAATTAAAATGTCAACACAACAAAAACATTTTGTGAAGACAAGCAGGGTGGTGTTACTGGTGCCAGAATGTTGGTATTCTCTGTCTTAGTTGCAGAGCATTTTGAATAGAGATAGCTGACCTTCTAGGCTTGATGCTAGCAATACAACTAAGGGAAACAGAGCTACAACTCAGAAGGTTGCTTTTAAAGGATTTTTTTTTTTGTTGTTGTTGTGTAAAAAAGGAATAGCCTTATAAACTGGATAATTAGAATGGCCACTCTGCATGTATCATGGGCTGTTTTCAATAATGTGACCTGGAATGTCATTTAGTAAAACCAAATGTCCCCCCCTCTCCCACCATTGCCACCATCCAGGTATGTGGGTGAATGATACTTGGGTGGTTCTGTGCTGTAATTAATAGGATTCAGTCTTTGTGGAACGTTGCTGTCAGAGGGTAACTAGTTCTGATGAAAGAAACTTCATTCATTAGAAGTTCTAGAGAGTGAGATTTAGCAGAGCTATCAAGGGTTATGATTAATCTACACTAGACCCTTATTCCTTCAAAGCAAAGGAATAGAAAGCAGGCTGCGGAACACCACCTGCTCTTCTGTGCAAACCCAGCTGCTAGTCTGCAGCTCCCACAACCACAGACTATGCACATCCTGCAGGAGGAAAAGTCACCCTGCTTTCTTCCTCACTGCTCCCTGCTCCATTACTGTGCCAGAGAAGTTGTTTTCTAATAGAAGTTCAACCGCATTAACAATGTTACTGGCAATTCATGTACTATTTGTAGCTTGAAAAGTTTCTCTGCTCTGGGGGCACCATGCCTTCGCCTTCTCTGTGTGTCTCTCATACACTGTGACTAAAAAAGAAAAAGATTATGAAGGTAATGGAGATAAAACCATCATAAGGCATCAGAGGAAACAGAAAACTGAAGACAGCTAGGAGTAGGGAAATACACCCCAAACACTGAGAACACAGTCTGGCATTTCTGTTCTTAAAACTGGGTTAAGTATTGCTGCTTTGTATCCTTCTCCATGCAAGTTTAAAACTTTATGCCTTTGGAGAGGAAGCAGAAGATAGCAGCAGGATCTCTGGACTAAAAGAAGGCCACCCAATCTAGTGCTTCACTGTCACTCAGCCTGAGCCAGTTCCTGAGCCTCTTTTAGGTCTCAGGATCATAGTTTGTAAAATGAGGGGATTTGGAGTTGATGCTGTCTGCAGTACTTAGAGTGCTTAAAATGGCCATTTGATAACGATGAGGCGCTGAATAGTTCAACTTTAATTTTTTTTGAGGATGGTATTTGACACTTGGGAAAGAAACAGCAGCTCAAATCCTGTCATTGAAAAAATTTCAGTCAAGTTATGCAATTCATAGAACCCAGACACACTGCTTATTTATGAAGGAGCTGTAGCTCTAAAATACACAGACGTACCTATGCCTAGTATATAGTATGTATATAATCTGTGTACATATTTATATATATATGTATGTTTCTAATTTTATATTTATTTAGATGTTGCCTTCTGTTATTTCTTCCCCCCTAAACTAAATGAATGCATATTTATGGTGGCAAATTATATAAGCCTATCCTCTCATTTACTATAAAAGCATGTAGTATGTAGTTAAGCAATCTGACATTATTAGAGGTACTGATTCTTGTGAATCATTTTTTTTTTTATTTTAACATGATGAGTACTTTGAAAGATCAAGGGCACAGACAGAAGTATTTAAATGCAAACAAGTGATATGGTATTGGTGACTTTTCATGTGACTAAACTATGTTTTTAACTATTAAACACCCCAACTGCTAAATGAGGCTGTGTGGACCCCATGAATGCATTCTCCTTCCATCATCAAACACATATTAAGTAAAATATTTAGTCAGTAAAGAAAAACTCGTTTTTGATTCATATAGGTTTACATGGAATAGTTTAATACTTTCTTTTAAGATTTTAACCATCTGCTCATTTTCCTTTAAAGGAACTTCTTTATATAGAAAATGGAGACACTCTAAAATTATTTAATGTTATTTAACTGTATAGCGTGCCAACTCCTGATTATTTTGACCACTTTATATATGACTTTATAGATGATTTAATGAGGAGTTTATAAAGTTTGAGCCTTTTCGTTTTCAAAATTCAGCTTGATTCCAGGACAGCCCTTAAAAAAAAAAAAAAAAGTCCAATAGTCCTTGTAAAAGGCAGTATTAAATATTTAACTTGTTTGAGTTTTTTGACATCTTTTCATTCTTTCTTTAGTCCCAGCTCTCTTTTTGCTTTTGTCTTCCTTTAGGTATACAAATGCTCTCAGTCCAGCCAGACACCAAGCCGAAAGGTTGTGCTGGCTGCAACCGAAAGATCAAGGACCGGTATCTTCTAAAGGCACTGGACAAATACTGGCATGAAGACTGCCTGAAGTGCGCCTGCTGCGACTGTCGCTTGGGAGAGGTGGGCTCCACCCTGTACACTAAAGCTAATCTTATCCTTTGTCGCAGAGACTATCTGAGGTAGGAATTATCCTTGCACACCAGTGATGACTGGATTCCTTTTAAAATACTTTTGTAAGTGTATCTTTTTTGTTTCATTTCCTTCATACCAGCTTATATTCCTGAAAGATGTTGGCCTGTCAACCTTCAAAATGTTGTCAGGTGCTTGTTATGCAGTGGCCAACAACACACAGTATCTATCTATGTGTTCCATTTGGCTTGACTGGATGTTCTTTTTAGGGACAGGTTGTACCACTGCCTGTATTGAAACTGCCAGTTCATGTCAAGGATGTATGTGGTAGAAATCAGTGTACTTTTTTCTCTTTTTAGAGCATAAGGGACAAGGTAGGTTGAACATAATATAAAGTTATTCAATATCTTCTGTTTCAGAGATCTCAAAGTCAGAATTTCTTAGCTGGTATTTATCAGCATATTTATTGTACAGTTTCAAAAACTTTCCCGAAGTGTGAATAACTCTCCCCCCACCCCAGCATTCCTAGTGGTCATAGTAAAGATATCGGTGAGCGAAGAACAGCTTCAGACTTGCCTGCAGCTTTATGGAAAATAAAGACCTCCATCATTATGGGGGATAGAGAGCCACTCCCCAAACTGTGAACAATTTTAGGACAATGCAGATATCCTTGATCATGAAGGTATGGAACCCACTAGCCACGTTTCTCAGCATTTAATACCCAACATGTGAAATACTTAAGAAAAATTATTTTGCTTTTCAGGGAACTTTGTGGCTTGATTCAGCAGCAAATTACTTATATTAATAAAGTAGGCTCTATCAAATTAGAGAAATGATATATGGCATCATTTGGGTTTTCATATTTGATATAATTAATCATTTTTCTAGTCTGACATTAAGCGATTTATTTTGAAATTTTTCCCCTTCTGCCACAAAGTTTATCAATCAACAGTAACTCCTTAACTACCGTAGACATTCTGGGAGGTGTTTTCTCTGGGATTTGCTGCTGTTTAATATGTAAATCAGTTATTTCCAGTCCAATTCAATCTTTACATATAAAAATATATCATTTGATTAATGGTAGTTACATAAGGGTGAATTAGTAATGTTTATCAGGTTCTACTCTTTCCCCTCTAAGGATTGCCTCATCTGACAGCTGCTGACTAATTATGATCACTGGGTGCTGCTTCTCTGTATTCCGAGTGCACAGCTTCATGCAAGGTGCCAAGAAGAAGTGGCTCTTGCTAGCCAGGATCTCCCTCATTGTGTGGCACAGCTAATCAGAGTTAACTTAGTGGGAGAATTCTCTTTTGGAATTCTGCAGTCTTTGAACTTTCCTCTTTGAAAGAATAATTTCTTCTTTGCTCATTGTAAATCAGAGTGTCGTTTCCATATAAAGTATTTGTAGTTACTTCTAGTGATTTTAACATTGTTTTATCTCCTTACTAATCAATAGTCATGGCTTTTTGACTTATTTTTGGCTTTCATATTTGTTCATAATTTCAGTGTCTCAGTAGAGTTGGGTAGCAACGATTCCAAAACAAGTTTATGTAATCCGGGCAAGATTAAAAGTCTATAATCAAATACAGAAAAATGTTGACAGAAATTTAAAGAAAGTCTCTTGAACTATCTGGATTTTTTTACATCAAATAATATAAATTTACCAGCGCAAGGCCTGTGGCATGTTTGAAACTGTTTTACAGTTAACAGTATAATGGCAATTTGGTTATAGGTATCGACGTGAGCCAAATAATTTTAGGCTTGCTTTATTCTTCCTTAAGGTAATAAAAATATGATGTTCCCAAGTCAGTGTTTTGTTGAAAGGAATTTTTATCAAAATAGTTTTCATATCAGAAATCACAGTCACTGAAAGGCTATGCATGTTTTTTTTTTTTAATGATACCGCTTTTAGTTAATTTCTAATAGACTCAAACTTTACATGCTTGTTATCTTATTTTTAAAAATCATACTCCTAATATAAACTCTGGTCCAGATCACCAATATATTCATTTCTCATAGTACAGTTTCCTCTGAAATTGGTTATTACCACATTAATGGCCAGTTGTTATGTTAACAGCCTAAGGGTTGTTAACATTTCAAACTAAGTTGTTAACAGCAAGCTTATCCCTTATTTACACTGAGGGCTTGTTGATATAACAGGACTTCCTTGGCAACTAGTAATTCATCAACACTTAAAAATTGCAAAAGAGAGATGGGGAATTGTATGTGTATAAAACATTATGTTATGTGTTCTAGACTATACTGAAGCTGCAGTATTAGTATTATGTGGAAAGCTTATGTTCCAGTGAAGTCGTGTAATGTTCAACAGCATTATGTCTCTTTGGCAAATTGAAATGTGTCAAATAGAGTAATGCAGTCAGGCACATCTTACCTACCAATTAATTGCGGTGGATATGTATTCAAAAATGTTCTCAAATGCCTAAGTGAAAAGCACAATTGTAGGCAATAGGTGAAATCAACAGAAGGAAAAGAGAGGTGCATTTAAAATTACTACTATCCAGTTGCTTATAATTATACAAAATCTGTAATATGATTAGTGAACAAGTAGTATTCTGTGGCTATTTTCTGGAGCTTTGAAAATAATTTGTCTGATTTCCCTCTTAGTTTACATATTTCCTGCTTGTATTTTGCACAGCCAATGCTCAACTATTAAGTCCTTTTAAAATGGTTGTGTTTGGGGTTTGGTCTTTCAGTATTATGTAATTTATGTGAGGCACCAAATAAGTCATGAATGACTTACAGGTTTATGTTTTATCTAAATCATTAGGCAACTATCTAAGAATATAGAAAATGAGAAAGAAAGCAATAGTTTACCTGCACTAGTAAATCAATGGCTAGAGTTAACATTGTCAGGCAGATAATTTTATCATATTGAGATAAGAGTAGAACGTTTTTTTAATTATATCTAACTTCCTAATTAGTTTTTCCTTCCCCCCTAAAAAATACCTTCTAGTGGTGGGCAACGTTCTTGAAGTTCTGAATGTAACTCAGTGTTACTTTAAGTAGTGATAGTGATGACAAGTTTTATAAGTTCTTTGAATGACAACTACAAGAATTTAAATCATAAGATATTTCCTTAAGCATTATAAAACCTGCTCTTGAAGTTGATTTGATTTCTCTCAGATTTGTTCTCCTTTGCAGCCAATTATCTATCATAAGAAAAAGAAATGATTTTGCAGTTTATGTACTGAGTGTCAAATCCTATCAGAACTGTTCACTTTTCGCGATGGGGCTGGTATAATATCTTTGTTTTCCTGTAGAATATAAAATGGACAAATCTGATGAGAGAATTTGCCAGCTTGTAGGGTTGTTTCCTGTGTTCAGAAATTCATTTGATAAAGGAACAGAAGGGCTGACTTTTCAAAACTTCCTGTATTAACATATTTTCTGACTTAAACTATGAAGTCAATGTGTCCATCAATATTATGTTTATGCCAAGACCTAGAAATGTGTCTGTTAAAAATGTGTCCAACACATCTATCGCTTTTTATTTTTAAATTTGAATATATGACAAATTAGACATGGAAACATCTTTACACTTTAGAGTTTAAAACTAGTAGTAGATGAAGAATTATTGTAACTGAAAATAGTAAAGTTTTAGTAACTGTTCACAGGACTCTAGTTACTGCTAAGCTGTCATCCTCATTTCAGTTTGAAAAATATAAATAAAGTAGCTATGATAAAATCAGAGATAAAGAATTAAGATTTTCTGACAAATGTTAAGCAGTCAGAAGTAGGAAAAATAACAAAATGCTTTAATTTTCATCTTGGAGGCAGTACAAAATATCAAAACCATTCAGGCTTATGGGCAATATTTTCTTATTTGTTGTTGTTGTCGAAGGCTGCAGCTTCTTGTGTATTTTAGGCATCAAATCGGAAAGGCTGCATCTTGTGTCTCTATGAATGGCTTCTTACTGGGTACTATTCAGAGCTACTTGCTATGGTTTGTGCCACGAGGCTGCATATAGCTCTTTTTAGATGAAAAACTGAAAATGTCTTAAATAAAATTTAATGCAGTTTTCTATTTTTAAATGTGAGGATGATTTGTTTAAAATGAAACTACTGGGAAAGAAAGTTGTTTTATCCTTCACCATAGTTGCCAGTTAACAAAAACATTTGGAATTGCTATGCTGAGTACAAGTTTTCTGTGCTTTAATATAATAATACAGTGACTTTAAAATAGAAAAATAATGCATGTAGGGCATTAATCTCACTTTAATTTAATTGCATACTGATCAAACACAGTGCTTCTACGTTTTTATATAAGGTTAAATTTATATTAAAACATGGTTATGACCTTGAAAGTGAATATGAATATGGGATATTATTTATCTGATATTTCACTGCAGATTTTTTTAATGTTGAATCAAGTATTGATTTTTTTCTTTGATTGTCATCTGTTTTATATTAGATATTTGAAAATATTTTTCACAGAAAGCAAGTATATTTTTATTTGAAAAAACACTTTGCTTTGTTTTAAATTTTCAAAACTTAAAAACTTTTATATGGAAGGAAACGCTTCTCAATTTTTTTTCTTTATGAGCGTAGAGTTTTCCTAATGCTTTATGAGTCATAACTTTTGTCATATTGAAATGTCTAATCTTCATATTATGAAATATTTTATGTGAGTACATTAAACTCCATGATCTCATGAAAAGTACTGTTATATTCCTTGCAAATTATCTTATAATTTTATAAAAAGTTGTTAATTTAAATTCATTTTTTCTTTATATCAGAGGAAAGCTTCATTGGATTCTATTTTCAAGCATTTTAGAGTATATGCAGTTCACAAACCAAGGGAAATCAGAAGTGACAATTTTATTTTGTACAATATTTTGGGAGAGCGCCCTTCATTTTGGGAAGTGGTGTTGAATTCACATGAGATTTCTTTTGTGACAACACCCTTGCAACAATTTCTGTTAAAATTTAATCTCCTTGTAGAATTTCTTCTCATTTGTAAATTTATCTATAATATTTTGCTGTCTTTATTTCTGTAATGCATTTATTTTCGGTGAATGAGTATTCATAT